AAAATGGTTTGATAAATGCTGTCCAGGTATCACTTGCCCTATGAGGGGTGAGTTTTTAAAACTAGAAAAAAAGAGAATAATCTATAATTCCACCACCCGGAGAATTTCTAATATTCTAGTACAGTTCCTTCTCACCAAGTTTCTGGGTGTTTTGTAAGCAAAAGGGTTTTCTGTTTTCTAATTTGCCACATTGTCTCTCCCATCATTTTTCTAAAAGTGAAAACAAACTTTTTTATTAAAAAATTTACATTTTAACACGTACTTTATTTTATACTTAAATGTGCACTTAAAATTATTTTGTAAGCCTTTCCCCAAATGTTTATTTATTTATTTATTTTTACATTTTAAATGGCTACATAGTTCTTCATCATACCCAATCATTCTCCTATTATTAGACATTTGGGTCTTTAGAAAATATTTTTTTGCCAAGTATCTATAGTATGCTCTATTTGGAGTAAGAAAGGAGAGGAACCAAGAAAATATATATGTATCTTGCTTAGCTGTACAAAAATAGCATATGATAAATAAACTAGCAACTAGCCCAGCCGGTGTGGCTCAGTGGTTGAGTGTTGATCTGTGAATCAGAAGGTCGGGTTCAATTCCCAGCCTGGGCACATGCCCAGGTTGTGAGCTTGATCCCCAGTGTGTGTATGTGTGTGTGTGGGAAGGGGAGGGGAGCAAAAGAGGAGAGGTGCGTATGAGAGGCAGCCAATCAATGATTTTCTCTCATCATTGATACTTCTCTCTCTCCCTCTCTCTTCCTCTCTGAAATCAATAAAAATATATTTAAATAAGAAAAAAGAAATTGGCTCCTTTAAGAACTGGTTGATTCCAGGGCAGAGGCAGGCACAGTAAAAGATGAACAAGGAACATTTTGTTCTGCCAGAAACTAACGAACGTGCTCAAAACATGATGGGAACTTGTCACAAAGACCAGCAGCCAATTTGGAAGGGTGCCCACTGGCTATCAAATTAAACTTAGCAACAAGGCCTGGCCAGTGTGGCTCAGTTGGTTGAGTGTCGTCTAGTGCATGGAAGGGTTGTGGGGTCCATTCCCGGTCATGACACATGCCCAGATTGTGGGCCCAATCCCTGGTAGAGGAGGCAGCTGGTAGATCGATATTTTGCTCTCACATCCATATTTCTCTCTCTCTCTCCTTCCTTCTTCTTCCGCTCTCTCACTAAAAATCAATTAAAATATTTTTAAATAAATAAAATAAACTGAGCATTAAAATAAATGACTAACAATTTATAACCCATTGGATAAAGTAAGAATCTATGAGTCCATACTGATATAAACAAACATATAGGAAGTAAAAGGGGGAGAAAGAAAAGCTTTTTCTTAGATTACAATGCCCACAATTAATGCAGAATAAATGATGGAATCAGAAAATCTGTATTTGGTGACCATCATAACAATAGCTGATTCAGTAATAACGAATTCAATGAGGAATTATCAATGGGAACTTAAACAAGTGTATGGAAATCTGATGAGCAACTGGCTATTCCATTTTACAGTACTCCCCAGGAGAGATTTATTAAGATCCATCAGACACCATCCTAAGCAAGTGTTCAAAGGTAGCGCACCGGTAACGGGACAGGCCCCGCTGGGAGGACCATGCTTTCTGTGGCAGTCCTACCAAACTGTATGCCTGACATCTAATCAGAGGAAATGTCAGAGAAACCCAAATTCAGGGGCACTCCATAAAATGATTAGTTGGTACTCTTCAAAAATATAAAGGGCGGGAACGCCAAAGAAAGATAGAGAAACTATTCCAGACAAAGATATGACAAGAAAACTAGAGAGTAATCCTGAATTGGATCCTGGACCATACAAACAACACAAAATAATTTTTTTCTTTTTTGCTAAAAGGGATATTACTGTGAAAACTGACTAAATCTGAATAAGGTCTGTAGATCAGATTATAATATTGTACAAAGCTGATTTCTTTTTTTTTTTCTTCCTCAAAGCTGATTCTTGATTTTGATAACTATAGTAGGGTTATGTAGGGAAATATATGTTTTTATAAAATAAACACTGAAGTCCAAAGTATTTAGGGGTCAAGGACATCTTGCCTGCAATTAGCTCTAAAAAATTGTGATAATTTATACTATTCTTACAACTTTTCTATAAGTCTGACACTATTTTAAGACACACCACACACACATACACACACACCTCGATACCAAAAATAAGACACTGAACATCCTTATCATAAATAATCTTTGCTTCCTTAGGATTCTGAGTGGAATTACTAAATCAAAGGTATACAGTTGAAGCAATATCGAAGTGTGTAGTACAGAGAAGTTTTTGCATACCTTTAACTGTGGAGGAACAAGGCAGTGGAAATGTAGGACTGAGAGGGTAGACTGTGGGGTGAAAGCAGGTGTGTAAGTGGAACTAATGAATGCGCTCAGAATGAGTGGGAATCAAAAGTTAGGGTAGCAGATGGGGGTGAGGGATTAAAGCTGAGGACATGAGACTCTTCAGAACCATAACCCTCAAAGGAAGGAAGGAAGGAGGGAAGGAAGGAAGGAAGGAAGAAGGAAGGAAGGAAGGAAGAAGGAAGGAAGGAAGAAGGAAGGAAGGAAGGAAGGAAGGAAGGAAGGAAGGAAGGAAGGAAGGAAGGAAGGAAGATAACCCTCATGTGGTTTAGCTGATGGCCTACAGTAATTTACCTCTACACAATGGCATGGTAAGAGCAGACTCCGGTATGGTTTAAATGACAGTGTCCTGCATCTCTCCCTCTATATGTATCCCCCCCGTGCAAGTCAGCTATTCACCACTGAGTCACACTGGGTCCCTGAGCCTTTCTAGTTGGCACCAAAGAGCCAACTACAACTTCTCCACCAAGCACATAGTCATATGAACTAATGGCATGGGAACTGTAATTACTAATTACATGTAATTACTAATTACATGTGAACTGTAATTTTGCTGCCATTAATGATTCGTAAAGTAAATATCTGTGTGTCTTCCATAGTCTTTGGCGATCCTGCTAGCTGTTCTCAACCTGTGGGTCTCAAATTATGGTTGGGGGTCACCACAACATGAGGGTCACAGCATGCCAAAACCGGTTTGGCTTAGTGGATAGAGCATTGGCCTGCAGATTGAAAGGTCCCAAGTTCGATTTTGGTCAAGGGCATGTACCTTGGTTGTGGGCACATCCCCAGGGGGGTATGCAGGAGGCAGCTGATTAATGTTTCTCTCTCATCAATGTTTCTAACTCTCTATCCCTCTCCCTTCCTCTCTGTAAAAAAATCAATTAAAAAATATATTTTTTAAAAGGGTTGTGGCATTAGAAAGGTTGAGAACCACTGCTATATGATGTGGTAATAAATAATCCCACCTAATAAAAGAGTAATATGCAAATTAACCATCACTCCACCACACCACAAGCCACACCCACCACCCACACCCACCAGCCAATCAGAGCGAATATGCAAATAAACCCAACCAAGATGGATACAGCCACAGAGAGCAGGAGGGAGGCTTGGGTTTCCCAGGCAATGGAAGAAGCCAAGCTTTCCGCCTGTCTAGCCAGCCTAAGCCTCCACTCAAGGCTACAAAGTTTCAATTATAGAAGGTAGACAAATCCAAACAGAAATGGCTGCTGGCCACAGAGCGAGCAGGAGGCTTGGCTCTGCTCCAGGTTACAAAGTTTCAATTGTAGAGGTAAATAAAATCCAGATACCAGGGCCTCCGCTTGGGTCGCCAGGGGGCGTCGATGGCCTGCAAACCACCACATGCCCCTTGCCCAGTCCACCCCACACCCCAAGGGAACCCCCACCCTGATCTGGGAAACCCTTCATGGCAAATCAGCTGGCCCCCACCCATGCACCAGGCCTCTATCCTACCTAATAAAAGAGTAATATGCAGATTGACCATCACTCCAACACACAATAACTGCCCCCATGTCGTCAAAGATCCTGCCCCTATGTGGACACAAGATGGCCACCACAAGATGGGCAGCAGGGGAGGCACCAGGCTTGCAAGGAAGGGCAGTTGGAGGTAATCAACCCTGCAGTTAGGGGTGACCAGGCTGGCACAGGAGGGAAGTTGGGGGCAAACAGGCTGGCAGGGGAGCAGTTAGACATCAATCAGGCTGGATGGGAGTGGTTAGGGGGAGATCAGGCTGGCAGGCAGAAACAGTTAGGGGCAATCAGGAAGGCAGGCAAGTGAGCAGTTGGGAGCCAGCAGTCCTGGATTGTGAGAGGGATGTCCGACTGACGGTTTAGGCCCGATTCCACTGGGATCGGGTCTAAAAGGGCAGTCGGACATCCCTCGAGGGGTCCCAGATTGGAGAGGGTGCAGGGTGAGCTGAGGGACATCTCCTCCCCACCCCCCACCCCTGGCCCTGTGCATGAATTTCATGCACCAGGCCTCTAGTCTAAAATAAGAATTCATTTTAAATGCCCATAATACAATCAACCAAGTACATATAATAATTCCTCACTTAAAGTTGTCAGTAAGTTCTGTGACTTTAAGTGAAATGACATATGATGAAACCAGTTTTTCCACAGGCTAATGGATGTAAACAATAGTTAAGTTCTTACAGCATCTCATCATTGTAACAAAACAATGTTGAACAAATTGATGTTCTTCAACGACCTGCTATCTATTAATTTGCTTCTTATTGAATAATTGCTATTTGCTAGGGACTAAATGCTTCATGTGGGTTCTATCATTTAATCCTCCAAATAACTCCGTGGGGTGTAGCATTATGTTCACTTCACTGATGAGGAAAATTAAGTCTAGAGACGTAACTTAAGGTAAGACTTGCTCCATGTCACAAAGCTTAAATTCAAATCCATGAACCTGACCAGAGTCTTCACTCAGAACCACAATGCTATGCGGGATAAAAAATTCTCATTGAGGAGAAAAAAAGGCAATAAATCATAAATCAGGAAATTAGGATGAACGTTATATTCTACTAAAATACAAACTCCACGTTCCCCTTCTGTAATCACCAGGGCACTCGCTTGACAACGGGGACATACCTGACAGAAGAACTGCTGCTGGGTCCCTGCTCCGGGCGCGTTACTGAAGGTGCTGGTAGGTTTGGAAGAAGAAACTGGAAGACGATGAGACACGCTGACCGGGACTGGAGTCCTGTTTGGCTGGGTCAGCTGGTCTCCCGCAAAGTTTGATCCTGATGCACCCGACTGAACCGCAGACCCGAGGCTAGGATGGACAGTGCTGGAGGAGCTAACGGGGAACCGACTGGGTCCTGACATGCTTGTCACGGAGGGCATGGAGGGGAAGCCGGGTCTGCCCTGGGAGACGCCGCTCTGCCCAGGCGACAGGTGTAAGACGGTTGGCGATGCCTGCTGCAAGGGCATCTGTCCACCGACAATCTGAGGGGAGGCGTGATTGACTATCACCGGGCTTCCAGAGGGGGCGAACGTCTGCCCAGACACCAACTGGACGGTGTTCTGGTTGTTCAGCATCTGTCCGGAGTACGGCTGGTTGGTCCTGAGCATGTTGGAAGAGTTTCTGTTCAACATGACATGCTCTGAGGCCGCCTGGCCAGAAATGAGCGGAGACGACTGAGTCTGAACAAGTTGCCCATTGATGGTCTGGACGTGATGTACCGAGTTGGAGCTGACGGAAAGGCTTGTGGGTACGAGGAACTGACTTTGCGGGGGGTGAGACTGGCCCATTGGAGAGTGGATGACGATGCTCCCCGCAGCGCTGCTCGCGGGCTGTGAGGTGGCCGGTTTCCTGGTGTTCTGTGGGTTTACGATGTTCACGGACATGTGCGGACCGGCGACGGAGCCCTGGGGCGAGCCCGCAGAGGCGAAGGAGATCCCTTGCTGCACGTGGTGCTGCTGTATCCCCAGGTTGTTCACATTGTACGTATTCTGCTGGCCCATCTGGATAGGCTTTGGCTGGATGTTGATGGGAACTTTATTTGAATTTGGTGCGAGACCCCTCTGAATGATGATGTTATGCACGGGTAAAGACGTCTGAAAATTTGTGCTGTTAAACGGGACGGTAACGGGCTGTGCTACTGGGCTGGAACTCGAGTTCCCGAATAAGGAGTTGCCATTGGGAGTCTGTCTATGTACCAGAAGTCCTCCACTCACATTGGATGGGGCTTGCTGCCCGCTGCCCTTTAATATGATTTGCGATCCATCTAGATTATTAATAGTCATCATGGAAGGCTGATTGCCAAATGACCCAATTAACTGTATCTGCCCAGAACCACTCAGCTGACTGCTATTGGATAAATGCTGGCCGGGCACGCTGATGCCCACGTGTTGCATAAAGCCATGTTGCACGCCCACTGTATTGCTCGCAAACGATGCTCCAACAGGCACGTGAGTCACCCCGATAGGCTGCAGCGTCTGACCTGAGTAATTGGAAACGTTAGAAGCCTGAGTAAAGGATGCTGATGAAGAAGGATGAAGCTGAGCTTGCGCAAACTGTTGGCTTGAACTTATACTGGCATCCAAATATGCCTCCTCTGCCAACGTCTGCTCGGTGATATTGGCCTCCTGCAAGGATTTCTGAAGGATGTCGAAAGGTTGGTCCTCCGTGAGATCAGGAAGGGGAGAAGACTCAAGTTCATCTTCAAGAAACTGAAGGCTACTGGAAAGCGGCAGTCCATCACTGGGCCCTTCTCCAAGCTGGTTGCTCACAGCTTTGAGGGTTGACTTAGGATCAGCATTCTAAAAAAACAAAAAAGTAATATGTTACATGGCATATCCAACCTTGGAATGAGATTCTTATAAAAAAAAATTAATCTCACTTCTGAATACAAATAAGCATGGCAGTTTGAACCTCACCTTATTCTCATACTGCATTTCCTTACTCATGATGCTGAACATTACTCTTTGCAATTATATACATTCATTGCTCTGGTAAATCAGTTTAAAGAAAACAGATAAATAATAAACATACTGACAACTATCTGGAGTTTAGCTTCATTTTAAAAAAGTTATTTAGAGAATGAGAAAAACACATGATGATTTGTTGTTTCACCCTTCCATGCGTTCATTGCTTGATTCTTGTATGTGCCCTGACCAGGGATGGAAGCCACAACCTTGGTGCACTGGGATGACACTCCAATCAACTGAGCTACCAGGCCAGGGCTAGCTTCATTTTTTTTTTTTTTTTTTTTTTTTTTTGAGATACTGGCACAGACTTCAATTTTCAGAATTGCTTCCAGTCCCAGGCTTAAGCGCAACTCAGGCGAGGTGCGTGTGTATCGAGGAGATGGCCATGTCTAGTCCTTCACACAATGGCGTCTAAGTGAGTTTTGGAAGTTCAAAGTGTTGTTCTATGAGAGATCCAGAAAGTATCAGATTCAGCCCTAACTTTCAAGGCTTCTCAAAACTCTCCCGTCTAACCTCCCCACCCAGACAAGACCAGTCCAGGAAAAACTAGCTTCCTACATAAAATGAGTAAATGGTCATTTGATTTCTGAGAAATAATCAGCTTATTATAATGCTTTAGAAACTGCTTCAGCATCCTAATCAAAAGCAAGTCTCTCAACATGTATTTATCAAACACCCTCTTATGTGTTTGTTTCTGTCCTTAAGGAACATTCCAACTGGAGACAATGATATAGGCATATGAAGGGAACTGAACAGGGTCACTCATAAAAAAGATGCATTCTCACTGTCCAGCAGTGTCTCCTGGGACATGTCAAACATACAAAGACATGGACTCTCTCCCTCATCTTGGAGCCTGGGGAGGCCTTTGGGGAACAGGACTTCTACACGACAAATGGGTGTGGAAGGCTGTGGTCCAATGCTATTAAAATTTTGTTTTGTTTTGTTAATCCTCACCTGAGGATATTTTATTTATTTATTTATTTATTTATTTATTTATTTATTTATTTTTGAGAGAGTATAAGGGAGGAAAAGGGGGGGGGGTGCAGAGAGAGAAACATGGATGTGAGAGACACATTAATTGCTTGCCTCCCACACACACTCCAACCGGGCTGGGATCAAACTGGAAACCCAGCTACATGCCCTTGACTGGGAATAAAATCCACAACACTGCAGTGCGTGGGCCAACGCTCTAACTAACCACTGAGAAACACCGGCCAGGGCCCACGGCATTTTTGCTGGCTATCATGGGGTTTCTGAAATTATTTCGAGAGAAAGAAGATGAGAGAGAGAGTAAAAAACACACAATGATTTGTTGATCCACCATCTTTTGCTCTTTTTTTTTTTTTTTTAACCATTTGTACTCCACGGCGTCTATAGAGGCAAGCGGCGGACCTTTTTTTAATTAAATTCAAGATATAGTGGCAGTTAATTAGTTAATTTTTAACATATATATTTTATTGATTTTTTTGCAGAGAGGAAGGGAGAAGGATAGAGAGTTAGAAACACTGATGAGAGAGAAACACCAATCAGCTGCCTCTTGCACATCTTCTACTGGGGATGTGCCCGCAACCAAGGTATCATACATGCCTTTGACCAGAATCGAACCCGGGACCCTTCAGTCTGCAGGCCGATGGGCCAAACCGGTTAGGACTTAATTGGTTAATTTTTAAAAATATGTTTTTATTATTTTTAGAGAGAGAGGAAGGGAGAGGGATAAAGAAAGAGATAGAAACATCTATGAGACAGAAACATCAATTGACTGCCTCCTGAATATCCCCTATTGGGAATCAAACCAGGGACCTCTTGGTTCATGGGTCCATGCTCAACCACTGAGCCACACTGGCTGGGTGAGGCTATGTTATTTTATTGATTTTGAGAGACAGAGGGAGATATCAACTGGTTGCCTTTGGTACCCTCCCGACCTCGGGACTGAACCTGAAACCTAGCAATTGATCCACAATCTTTTTGATGTATGAAATAATGGTCCAATCAACTGAGCCACCAGGCCAGGGCACACACAGTTTTTAAAGTTGAAGGTGTTTATGCTGGAGATGAAACTGAATTCTGCCTACACACAAGATGTGGTTATGTGTATAAGGCAGAGACCAACGCAGTGCCTCCTGGTGGCAAACCCAACAAAACCAGAGAGGCCTGGGACAGGAGCTCATGCTCATGCAAAAAGTGGCATGGCCGGGCCAAGTCCCAAAGCCACCTTCCTGCCAAGGCCATTGGACACAGGATCCATGTAATGCTTTAACCCTCAGGGATTTCAATGTATTGAAAAGTAAATAAATAAAAGTGAATTTGTTCTCTTGTTTAAAAAAAATATGGAATCAATAGCTATTTAAAATAAGGTGAACTCACTGTAAATGTACTTAATTGCTCCTGAACTATACACTTAAAATGAAGATGGCAAATTTTATGATATATATATTAAATACAATTAAATTTTTTTAAAATGAATAAAAAAGTTAAAAGTGGATCAATTAAGAATGAGTGGTCCAACATGCAAAACTGTAGAGATCCTCAGCCCTAGGCTAATAGGGGTTGGGGGTAGATGATGCAGAGAACTACACAGAAACGCTGAGACTGGTTCATCTGGCCCCAATCCATCAGTAGCTGAAATGAGACTAATGTGGTCTCGGTCAGCTGACACCATTTAGGACTTGAAGGATCATAGGCTTCAGTGTAGTGATTTGGTATCTCTCCAGACTGGACCCCTTCCCTCCAGGTCAGGCTTCTGTGTGGATGTTCCTGAACTTGAGGATAGGGCTCCGGAACCCGGTGGCCTGAGTGAGAAGTAGGCCTAGCTCTGCGCCCCCTGGCGGTGTGATTTGGGAGAGGACTAAGCTCTCTGGGCACAGTTTCCTCATCCTGTACAATAAGGACAATAACAGAACCTACTTCATGGAGTTATCATGAAGATGAATGAAGTTGATTACGTTAAGCCGGCAGTGCCGCAAACATACTAGATAAGTTCTAGTTATTATTGTTCTTGTTTGGGATGAAAATATTTAGCATGTAACTACAATGAAGAATAACTTATTAAAGTTACATAACAAGGTTCAAACTTTGCAATACTACTTCCTCGGAGTATAACACTTCTGAGTCAGTTTAAAAAGAAAGTTGACAGCTTAGGAAAATAGCACAGTAAATCTCATAGAGCTTGTCTTGACTAAGTTAAAAGTAGAAAATGTCAGCATAATTCAATAGATTTCCTGTCTATGTCAGTTACAAAAGACAAGGTAATCATTGTCATCATGATTCAAAGGCAAGTAAAGCCTCCGTTCACAGCATCAATGAGACAGAAACACTGAGCATCGCATCCAGTCTCTCATACTCACACTAGCGTTGGCGAAAATTGAATTTGAATTGGCTGCAGAGTATCCTGCATTAGTCAAGTCATCATTGCTCTGCAAAGGCACAAATTCAACAGAGATTACTTTAACGGCAGAGAAGAAATGAACGTTACATCTGCGACGTGCTAAGTATTACTTACAGATTTATTACTAGGTCCATGCAGAAAATAGTTCAATGCTTGTGGGTCTCTAGAAAACAATGGAAAAGGGGAAAGCAACCATAAATATGTTACCTAGACTTCAGATTCTTTTTCTCAGGGTAAGACAAAAATGACATAATAACCTGAGTAAAATTATCTCCCTGTTTTAATTCAAGTTCTTTAGTAGTTTTTTGTTTTGCTTTTTTTTTTTTTTTTTTTTTTAAATTTACTAATGTTGTTCTATTTCCTATTACCATTCCTGGGACTTGTTAGAAAATAAACTTAATAAACATAAATAAAGCATTACCTAAATTTGATCCCTATCAACCTGAGTCTCTTTACTTGTGAATCCATACTGTGTTGATTAATTTTTACTTTGAAAACCCGTCTGGTTTTAATATGCTTATTAGGTTGTTTTAGTGGAGGAAACCCCCCACAACTGATTCACCCTGATTTCGGAACGAGCATCTTACCCAATAAGATCAAGGAGACACGAGTCATCATCATCATCCATGACAACTATAAGAAAAGGAATAAAAAACAGTGTTTCAGTGAAGTGGATTAAAGCCAGTAGCATCCATGCCACCTAAAAATACACTCTATACTTTCCTGGACACATAACTACTTCACGTGAGTGCTCCCTCTAATTGCTGATTACTAATGGGATTTTGTTTCTGTGAGTGTGATCATTCAAGAGATAAAGTATTCCATTTAAATCGTTTTTATTGAACACAAATCCTTAACTTACAAGTCGAAAAGGAATCTGGACAAATCAGAAATAGTTGGCAGCAACCCCTCACGCAGATTCCCCAAAGGGACTGTAAACCCTCAACAGCAACTTCCTCAAAATGTGCCGTGAACAAGGGGAGAACGAATATTTTTTGTTTTAGAAGAAGATCCCACGGACACAGAAGTCTCTGGATTTTGTGACGGGATGTTTCCAAACATGGTGAGCAATCCGGATTTCTTGCCACATTGAGCTATCTTTAGGAAAACAGGAAAGCCGCTCTCCCTCCTTTCTGAGACAGACACCACGTCCAGGCAGCACTGCCTTGGGCTTTGCCTCGAGGGTCCCAGGTTCCTCCCACGGCAGCAACACTGCCAACCCTTCGGTTCCAAACAATCTATATCCCAGCACTGTAAAACCTCAGCCCCAATTTCCCCAGCTCCAGGCCCAGAACTCCCTCCTCCCAGCCGCATCTGCTCGGCCAGCACAGTGACTGTGTTCTGGCTCAAACAATAACAACCCACAGATTCCAAGAGCAGTTCTCCCTTCTCCTCCCTCCCCCGAGATCCTGAGATGCGGGAAACTTACACTAGTGATCCGACACCTGGCAACACTGCTTCACACCCATTTCCAGCCATGCGTGGAATAACTTACATCACGGAATGCCAAGGCCCAGAGTTCTGGAGCGGTTGGAAAGGGCAGTGTGTGAACGGCAGTTGGACGGAGGAATGAAATCCTGAAGAGATGCCCAGAAAAGGGACACGCCCGAAGAAGGCAGAGGGATCATTTCTACTTAACGTTTTTTTTTTCTCCCTTAAAACTGCCATCTCCTCTCCGCTTCCCCCAAACTGCCCATCTTATGGGTCACAGGCCAAACAAATAGAAAGCCGGCCCCGGCCACACGGAAGGACATGCTTTCCTCAGGAAGGGTCTGGAAGGGTAAGTACCCGGTGTGGGACCGCCCCTTGGTGGATGAATTTGTTCAGTTGCTGAGTGATCCGGGAGATTACAATCCATCCGAGTGAAACTTCAGGGGAGAGGAGATGATGCGTAAGACAGGAGGAAGAAAGAGTTTATCCAAAGGTAACTCCATGGCTTCAACTGTAAAAGGGGCAGCTGGTAGGTGAAATTTTGCTCTTAGGACTAAGATGAGGTACTCAAGGGCGTGCTAGAATGACTTTTCTAACAGAACATGACTTTTGAGGAGTGAAAATGGTAAGGAAAAACAGGAAAGCTGTTATTAAATAGATATGTAGAAATCCGTGTGAAGGGCTTCCCCTAAATCTGATATTTATTATGGTAGAATTGCACTGGCCAGACATCACAATCACATGGATTAATTAAACCTATAAAATGGCTATTACTTCAACATGACCGTTTACTTTAATCCTCACCCTAGGATATCTTTTCCATTGATTTTTTAGAAAGAGGGAAAGGGAGGAAGCGGAGAGAAGAGAAACATGGGCTGGTTGTCTCCCGCACGTGCCCAGACAGGGGCTTGAAATCGAACCCGCAACCCTTGGGTCTGTGGGGCTGATACTCCAATGACTAAACCAAAGCAGCCAGGGCAACATGACCATTTACAGAGAGATTCTCTGTGCTCTGTAAATTTATTTACTTTTAAATATATTTGTATTGATTTTTAGAGAGAGAGGGATACCGAGATAGAGAACTCGATGAGAGGGAAGCATCATCAATCAGCTGCCTCCTGTTGACCTATGAACCAAGAGGTCACTGGAATCGAACCAGTGACCTCTTGGTTCATGGGTCAACGCTCAACCACTGAGCCACACCGGCTGGGCTGTGCATTTATTTTTAAGTGTTTAACAGTCTCTGGAACAAACTGATTAATAAAAATGTAAGATGATCTATAAAAAGGCCCCACGACACTTTTACAACTCTCCCAACTTCTCTCGCTACGTCACACATGTTCCTAGTTCCTCTGGAAGATGAGGGGCCCGAGGGCTGAGGAGCTGAGAAAGGAAGCCAGCGCACTGGGACTTTCAAACACCGAGAACACCTGCTACCCCAGAGTTCACAGGGACAAGCTGCTCCGTGAGTAGCCCGAACAGAAACAACTCAACAAGAGTGGGTGCGACTGAAAGCCATTGTCCAACCGCACAGGCGCTCCAACACCCGACAGAACACTTCCAGGGGCACCCACCGGAGTGCGTGGCATCAGTCCTACCAGAGAGACCCACCCTTCTGCCCCCCTGGGTGGAAGAACTCTACAAGCCTTTATACTCGGGGCACCCTGAGAATTCTACTGTTTAAAGGGCCGGTCATTTCTGACTTTAAACAGAATTGAAAGAGGTGAACCTCACTCCCTATTGCCAGCTCTACATGGTGACAAAATACAGCCCCAGCACAGCTTACCCCAGCCGTACTCTCCCTCCGGAAAGGAAAGTTGTACCGTCTGACTATGATCCTAGAGTGGGAAGACAATCGGGGGTCAAAATCGTACTCAGAAGCGAAGAGCTCAGTTTTCCTTGGAAACGCTGTGCCTTGACTCGTGGACTCAGGCTCTTTTCTCATTGAAGTAACAACCTGGACTCCAGAGGGGCCTCTGGTAACAGGTGCATTTTACAAGGCTGCATGGAACGGAAGTCCCCTCTAAAGGGAAATCCCTAATCAGTGGTTTAAAACCGCTTCTTGGCCGAGACACATTCCCCTCAGTAGCAGCAGGCACAGCAGCAGAATCTGCCATGGACAGAGGGGGCCGTAGCTCCCTGATAGCAGGCACCCCAAGAGTTCAGAGATCACTGCCCCAGAGAGCTGACTACTACTCTTAAAAAATTAAAGCTAATATTTAAAATTGTTCTGACTGGAGTCAACAAACACTTTCAATAATATCTTTAGTCAGGAGAACACAGTGTAGCCTGGCCAGTGATTGAGTATCAAGCTATGAACTAGGAAGTCACTGTTTGATTCCTGGCAGGGCACATGCCCTTGTTGTGGGCTCGATACCCAGTGTGGGTGTGTGCAGGAGGCAGCAGATCAATGATTCTCATCATTGATGTTTCTATGTCTCTCTCTCCCCCTCTCCCTCCCTCTCTGAAATTAATCTATATATCTACCTATATCTATATCTATATCTATATCTATATCTATATCTATATCTATAAAAGGCTAATATGCAAAGTGTCCCCTTGGGAGTTCAACCAAGAGAAACGGGAGTTTGATCGCTTGCTATGATATGTGTTGACCACCAGGGGCCGGTGTGGAGCATGGCAGGGACTAGCTGTGGTGGCTGGGTGCTGTGGGGGGTGAGGGAAGGAGAAGGCAGGGCGGCAGGGAACCTGATAGGCCCTGATCGCAGGCCAGGTCTAGGGACCCTACCCATGCACAAATTTCGTGCACTGGGCCTCTAGTAAAAACATATTTAAAAAGAGAGAGAGAACACAGAGTAACCACTTGGCCTTTCACACCAAACACAAAACAGAACAGTGTAAAAGTGACGTTTCAAATCAAGGGAAAATGTTAGCCATAAAGAGAAAAGAAGGTGGGTCCATATCCCTTATCTACACAAAAGTAAATTCCAGGTGAATCTTAAGAGCTAAATTAGGATGCGAGTTGGAGAAGAGAACCTTTCTCACATGGGAGGAATTGGTTTTTATAACCTTGGAGCGGGGGAAGTCTATGTCACAAGGCAAAAGAGTCATAAAAGAAAAGACTTAGCAAATTTGATGACATAAAATTTTAAAATTTTTCATAAGAAAAATCATAAATAAAACCAGATAAATAAATAGATCTATAATAATAAACGCATAATATGCTAATTAGACTGGAAAGCCGAGTGATTTCTGGATGTCCTTCCAGACAACCTTCCAGATGAAGCCGGGCTTCAAGGCTGAGCCCCTTGCACAAATTTCATGCAATAGGCCTCTAGCAACTAAATAAAGCCAGACTAAAACACCCAAAAGTGGGAAGTATACCTCCAACTCATATCACAAAGGGCTCTTCTCCCTGATACAGAGAGTGGCTATAAATAAGAAAAAAAGGAAAAGAAAATCAGCAGAAAATCAAGGGGTATGAATAATTAATTCATTTAAAAAAGACAGATAGCCCCTAAATATATAAAAATAATCAGCTTCACTTAGAATAAGGGAAGTATGTAGTAGTCCCCCATTATCCATGGTTTCACTTGCCCAAGATCAACCTCAGTCCAAAAATATTAAATGGAAAATCCCCAAAATAAACAATTCATAAGTTTGAAATTGCACACTGTTCTTTGTAGCATGATGCAATCTCTCGCTGCCCTGCTCAGTCCCACTAGGGATGTGAATCATCCCTTTGTCAGCGTCCCCAAGCATATATTTCCTGCCTGTTAGTCACTTAGTAGCTGTCTTGGTTATCAGATCGCTTGTGTATTGCAGTGCTTGTGTTCAAGTCACCCTCTTCCACTTAATAATGGTCTCAAAGCACAAGAGCAGTGATGCCGGGCCGGCCAAAAAGAAGCTGTACCGTGTATCCATACTAATGTGCAATTTGTCTGAGATGCCAACACAGTAACAGTAACAACAGAACAGGAGGCTGTGTGGGGTGACAAGGCCGGTGGGGGGGTTAGTGAGGGATAACCAAACGACTGAACAGCAGGCTGCCTGTGGCAACCAGGTCAGCAGGAGGGCAGTTGGGGGTGACCAGGCCAGCAGGGGGCCAGTTGGGGGCGATCAGGCCAGAAGGCAGAGGTGATTAGGGGTGATCAGGCCGGCCCCGGGGTGTGTGTGTGTGTGTGCAGTTAGGGGTGATCAGGCTGGTGGGGGGGGCAGTTAGGGGTGACCAGGCTT